TTTGCATCTTATGCGGGCATTGATGGACATGTGTAGGTTCTCAAGTACGTGAAAACTCGATTAAAGGTGAAAATTGTTACCTTTGTTCGTTGATCAAATTTGTGCTTTTGAGTTTGCTCAAAGATATGGCAACTGCCGGCCAACAACAAATTCCTGTTTTGCGAGATGCTAAGGACCATTTTGTTACACGTATGTTGGATGCAAAAAGAGGAATCACAATTGGGTTATGAAAAACAGAATCCATCATAATGCCAGAAGAACACGCAGGGCAGAGGTGGGAGATCTGCAGTCTGCACGATCACCAGGCTAAAGACCCTGAACGGATTTGCACAATCAGATCATGGAGCGAAGATTTAGATCCTCCAAATATGAAAATTCACATAAAGACTTATGGAGGAGGTCATTTGTTCGGGCAAACATGGAAGTTGGGTAGGGGAGCTGGCTTGCATCACTTTGGACTGATTGTTGGTGAAAAAGTCCGAGAATTGCTTCCAAGTGCCTCTTGCTGTGTCGAAATCTTTCAAGACTACTCTAATACTTTTGCCAATCCAGATGAGACTGTGAGGATTCCAGCAATAAGGAGGCCAAGATTGTTGCAGGAGACTATATATAGAGATATTGGTTGTTTGCCTGCCAGAGAGGAAGAACCAAGCGTCCCAAAGAAGCGAAAGACAATGGAGGGCATAAGAACTATGAAGTGCACTTGACATTGATATCTCACATCTTATTTAGGTTATTGATACACATAATGAGTAGTTTCTGTACTTACACAGGCAGTCTGACTCATTAGATGCATGCTACAGATCAGTAATTCCACTGTTAGTAATATAAGTAGGAATATGATAATGGTAATTTTTCCATAACTGATGGCCTGTGTTGCAATTAACGTCCAGCTTCCTGTGACAAATGTCTTCGCCGGTGCACGATTATAAGCGAGCACTGTCAATACCGTCATTTTTGTTGTTTAGACTGGACCCTTCTAACTTAGAGAACAAGATGAACCTGTTGGTTTACGCCTTCGATGATGATTGCATTCTTAGTGGTCAGCAGTCGACTGACCGGTCAGAAAACAACCACCTGCTGACTTGCAGTTAGAAATCTGGCAGCAGATGTCGGGTTGGATTGTGATTGTCATCCATATTTAGAAGAAAGATACTTGACTGCAGGTCAGTGACGTGAGGGAAAGAGCACTAGAATCAAGCTCGTCAGTGAAGAATTATGTTGAAGGTAGTCGTTACTATAATCGGTTGTCCACATGAAATCAGAATTGTCCCTGTGAACTCAAGTCCCAGGTGTCATGGCTGAGAGCTATTTGACGACCATCACGATACTTGTTCACAAAGGACATGCATGAGCGTCTCGGATGTACTATAATGTGAATTGTTTTTTCACGATAATATCTGTTTATCTGTTGTTTCATAAATGATTGTTCATTTCTTATGTCACTTTTAAAGATTGCTAATTTTTTGTGTCACTTCGCTTGTAGAGTGTTCCAATTTTTAAAAACGTTGTTTGAGTGTTATAAATTATGCATTAGTAAGGATTTGGAACCTGACATTATTAATTCATGATCACTTTTCTTTTCATTCAGGTAAATGGATCTGTTTACTAAAACAGAAGTCATTGAAAAAGTGACA